TGGTGGTGGTGTGACGGTGCTGTCGAGATGGGGATGGTGGTGCAATTGAGCTAGGTGGTGGTGTAGTGATTTGTTGGCATTGATTTTGTTGTTGGTAGTGTTGTAGTGCTATGACGGGTGAGGGGTGGTTGCAAGTGGCTGTAGTGGCCATGCTAGTAGTGTTGGAGTGGGTGGTCGAAAGTGGCCATAGTGGTAGTGCCGGTGGTCTGTGACCAAGTATTTGGTTATCTGTGACCAATTACTCAACTGTGACCTAAAAAATTAATAATATGTGACTCAAAAATATAATCCGTAACCAACCATTTTTTTATCTGTAACCTAAAATTTATATAATATGTGACCGTAAAAAAATCAGTGACCAATTAATTTGAAAATCTGTGACTGTGTGACCTATACATTTTGATCTGTGACCTATTTAGAGCTTGTTTTGGAGAGATTCTAATCCAATTAAAATTGAAAATATAGCTTTTATTGGGTTTCACTCATCCAATAAAAGTCAACAATAACAGTTAATTTTTCAATTTTAATCCGATTTTAATCTCTACCAAACAAACAATTAATAGTCACATATCAAAAAATTTGTAGGTCACACGGTCACAAATTTCCAAACTAATTAGTCACAAATTCTTTCACGGTCACATATTATATAATTTTTAGGTCACAATTAAACATCGTGGTCACAGATTAACCAACAAAAAAGTGTTATGTTTCGAAATTTTTATATTTCACTTTCGTGCATTGTATTTTAAACAACAAAATTTTCAATTATATCAAATACTTATGAAAATTTAGAAAAAAAATTGGATCTAAATCCGAATTTAGTTTTTTAGTTAGAAACTGAGAAACTTAACTTATCGATTCTAAGATTCAAGACTGAGTGCTTGTTTGGTAGGGATTTTAACCCCCTTCTTAACTAAAAACTTATCACTATACTACTATTTACACACCAACTTTTTCTTCTTTTTAATAACTACACTACCTTTTATAATAAAATAACTTCTTACACACCAAGAAAATGAGAATTGATCAATTTTCAAATAAAAAACAAACACCTCCTGAATCAATTTTGTCTGAAATCAGATTGAATCGGCTAGTTCGATTCGGATCGTGTTGGTTCAGGGTAAAAATGGCATGTCCCTCCACAATAAAATTTAAAATGGGCTATAATTGGAATAACCCGAACTGCGCGCATCCATTGGGCTTTCTAAACCAGCCCACATAAACCCGTCCAAAAAAGGGAGATTTTCCAAAATAGCCGGGTCAAATGGCCCATTTGAGTTTTTTTTTAAAAAGTCAATTTTACCCTTAATGAAATGGTTTTTTATTGCAAATCATGTCCTCACACTCTATGGTTTTTTAGAAATTAGTTTTATTTTTATTTTTATTCGTCATGACTGAATGTTTCTTCTAAATC